CTATTTACTTATGTACATAAAGAATTAGAGATCAAAAGTACTGAAAAACTAACATGCCGAGATAGCTCCTTCCATTTTTTCTGAACCTACTCACCTGAATACTTGTTCTAGCTGCTAATCAAGAAAACCGGTTTGATGCACTGCTGACAGACAGAGAATAGTGAAACTGAGTATAGGCAATCTAATAGTAATAAAGCAGAATTTGTACTGACACAAAAATATTGAAACACTGACACTCAAAAAACATAATAGAGTATTCACTATTGCATGAAAGTGACCTTCACAATTTTAAGCATTCTGATGCACCATTCCAACTGCATCACAGTACTCTGACTATTTTACTTCTATTTAGTTACTGAACAGAGTTTTTGAAAGCTGAACCAAACTGTAAGTACAAAACACAAAAAAAAACTGGTAGGCAGAGGTTCAAACCTCTTAGCTGCAGTTAGTCACGGCAAAGGGAAAAGAAACCAGTTGCAACCAAATCAAAGGATTTGACTAATATTGCTGTTCTTCTTACCTAAAAGACGGAAGCAAACTAACATGGCCATGAAACCGGTACACCCCCAACATAAAAAATAAGAATGAACTCAAAACTTATTAATCTGAAACTAATAGCAGCATTTACCTTGCCTCGAACTAATAGGAACATTGATTTGTAGCATGAAAGGGATATCAAATGTTTCTCTATAGAGTCAATCTTAAAAAAAAGAATCAGTGTACAACTCTAAGTAGGAATCAACTCTAAGCTGTCGCTATCCTCGTCACCTGTTTTTTTGTTGTTTTGGCTCCCCTCATGACCTGTTTTTTTATTGTTTTGGTCCCCACTCATGTGTGTGTACAAAGATCTGTCTTAGTAGTTAAAGATGAGAAGCAGGATGAGAAGCAACTTCGCTGGGAAGCCACTTCAACAAATGTTTTTGAACCTAGCCTAAAAATATTATACTTTGCCTTAGGCGCAAAGACAAAATTGTGAAGACTCATTTGGATGGGGTACATAAAAATGTTAGGATGGATGTTTCTTTTGTTAAAAAGGAAAAGCTATTTTTCTTATAGCGCAAAGAACCTTCCTTATTCAGAACGTTCTTTGTTGATATAATAAGATTAAGGCTATGAAAGCCAACAATGACAGGTATGATATACATACGAAAATGTTTGGGCTATGTCTACATGAATTGTGCTACTTGAGCAGAGACCAAAATTAGAAGCCTCATCATTTTAATATAGCATTCCACTATGGTTAGTTTAAAAAAAATAGAGCATCATCAGCAGGCTAAATCATTTTGTGAAACCTGTTTGGTGGTTGACTGAAAGAATTCAAAGGAGAATACGTAGCATATTTTTTTAGTGTGATAGGTTGCATGGAAGTCTCTAAATAACCAATTTCAGATTTGAGCGACGATCTAAAATAAAGGGAACTAACTAAAAAAATAGATGTGAAGCATGTATTTTACCTTCGCAGGCTTACACCTTGAGGCCGAGTGATCCAAGCGATCCAGGCAATGATGATTCACTTCTTTAGCATTTGAATAGAATTAGAGTTTTCGTAGTCTTTGACAGGGAAAATGAAAGCACGTTCTCAAGTGATATATTGTTCACTCACAGATTGCATAAATCTGTTAGTTTGTGATAGAGCGCAGGTCTAAGCATTGGAGTAATAATCATATTAGACTCCAACAGGTGATAATATTTTTTATCATAACCTGCTGATGCAATGCAACTTATACGCAACAATCTTATGCGATGACCATAAAGGAAATTACCTATTAGTTGGCAAAATTGTCTGAACAGAGATCCTTTCCAAGCATTACATATAGCTTCTTCTGAGTTTCTGTACATAATAGAAACAAATATGCAGAGGATAATAATCACTATCGAGTACAGTAACTTTTAGTTGGTCAAAGTCTTCGTATGGATTAATTGCTGAAATTACATTCTCACTAATACCAACATTTAAGAATAAGAAAAATAACAGAGAACTTGCAAATGTCTCTTAACAATCAGATGCCACCAATAATGAAAATTAACTATTGACAAAAATACACCATGAATAATTGCTATTCATATGAACTGATCGAGTTTTATTCTCTGCATCAAATTCTGACTCCCCTAGAAAAGAGGACTGGAGATAATGAGACTGTACCAGGAGAAGCTAGAATAGCTCGTTGCAAAAATATGCTGCGTGCCCATCAGATATGTTAAAAATGTAACTACTTTTAGCAAACCATAGACATGGCTATGGTAAATAACATAATGAGAGTCACGGAAAATAAATAGAGGGAAAATATAAAAGTGCAAAAAAATGTCAGCTATTTGTTCTTTTCAAGGCATTATAACATTGAGTATTCTGAATTGGTGCTTTGGATGTATGGAAGTGAGGTTTGACATTCTAGATCATGTTGGATGTATGCGGTAATTTTTGGCCAGAGCTAATTTGGAAGAACACTAAAATTGTATGTTTGGAACTATTTATTGGCCCTGGGTCCATTTTTATGTGCTACATTGTTGTATTTCTAAGCTTTCTTTCTACAAATACTGAAACAAATAGGCAAAAAGTTCATCAAAACCCATATATCTCTTCTCTAGGGATACTCTTCACCAACCTCAAGTAATCAAAACGAAATTTGAGTAAACAACTTGCAGAAAACACTGCACTTCTTTGAATTTTGAACCTTTTCAAACACCAAACACCAAAAACAATCAGAAGGGAAAGGTACCAATGTTAATTGGCAGATCCTTCTTTTAACCTGTGTTTTGTCCAATGCAGGACCAAGATTTGTCCCCCGACGGGGTCAAAGCCTATTGCTCTTATGAATTCATCAATTACTCTCTGAACAGTTTTGCATCCACTTTTAATCAAGCTAGTTCTAACCTGAAAGGAATGATGGCAGGTCCATTGCAATTAATAGATAGCTGACCAAGTTGACATGTGCACAACCAAAGGAAATTGAGAAGTCTATAAACATGAGCACAAGAAAAAATAAAGAACAATAATAATTGCAATAGGAAAGCATAACCTGTCTATGTATTTTTTTTTGTTATGCAATGAGCATACAGAATGTTACCTGTTGACTATTTCTATTGTCCAAGAATAACAACAACACGCTATGGGCATGTCGCTGCTGCATATCACTGAGAAGCAGCATGAGAGTTGTTGGTGATAACGTCCTTGTATCTCATAAAAACAAAAGTTCAGTTACTGCTGGAATAATCTGTGAGTACAACAAAACTTAATGTTACCATCTGTTTATCCAAACCTTCAATATATTAGTGATAATGAAATGAGGCAAGGAAGTTGATCAGTGACAGGCATTCCATGAAATATAATTGGAGAGTCCAATAGAAATTATAGCAGACCTGGAGCAGAGCTTCTCATTTTTCTATATCCTCTCCCACCTCTGCCTATGCTCATGCTCATGCTGGCTCCCATGTCCATGTACACCCACGCTGTAGGTCGCAGGGCCCTTATGCTTGCCTGGCAAGGTTTGCTATTGGCATTAATAATCATGATTTGCTCCATAAAAATTGTGAGATAAATTGATGCCACCTAAATGGAATCAGTTAATATTTATGATTCGATCCATCAAAATTGTGAGGTAAATCGATGCCACATAAATGGAATCACCGGCACTAAATCACTTAAAAAAAAATTGTGCAAAGGAAAGTTTTGGGCTGAGACAATGGACTGAAGGGAGATAAAATGACTGAAGAAAATCATGAATGTACATGGGCATGTCGAGTACTACTCGATGAACTGGAGCTATGGCAGTCACACAATTCTCTGCAGGTACAGAATCCAACAAATACTGAATAGCTAATTGCGTAGGCAACCGCTGTCTTATTAGTAAAAATCCCACCTAACCATGTTTACCGACTGCAAGTTACTGGAATAAATCATGAGCAAAAATTGAATCCAAAGCTAACATGATTTCATACTCAAAGAGCACTCAACAACCGACGAGATGGCAGATCCTCCATGGCCGACCTTGACAAAGGTAGGGTTGGAGTTCGGGTTTGGGTGCTGATTTCACACATGAGGCAGAGAAGAGATGCGATGGGCATACCTGGTGGGTGCTCGCCGCCAGCTCAGGGCCCCGGAGAGGGAGGGGGCTGCCGGGCCCCACCCGCGTCGTCGTGCCGCCCGCAGGTGGCGCCGTGGCCTCGCCGCCACCGCGGCGCCATCGTCTCGGGAGGACGGCCTCGGGAGGGAGGACGAGGAGGAGGCAGAGGTGGAGGAGACGGAGACGGAGGAGGAGGGCCTCCGCCGCCGCGCGCCGCGCGCCGCTCGGCCGACGCCGCCGCCCTTGCTCGCATCGGGAGGATGAGGGAGACAGACTGACGGGAGAGAGAGGAAAAGAATTGGAGACGAGAAGCTGAAGCTGCTGTATATATATTTGACTGTCCGGCTTCGGACAAGAATCGGGAGAAGGTGAGGAGAAGCGGGAGAAGCTACCAGGAGGCTGAGAAGCTGTTGTACGCGAGATTCTGCTTCGAGCGATCTAGGCCATCCAACGCGTGATCGGACGGCTGAGGTTATTTTGGACGACGTGGACGGTGTTTCCTTCGGGAAACCACCGCGGGCTTGTTTAGGTAAATGCGATGATGGCGATCAGCCGCAGGAGAATCACAAACCTGACAGAAAACGGGCAAACGCATTAGTATATCGATCTTGCATGCCGTGCGGAAATTCAGTCAGAGATCAACAAATTTCGGTTGCAGTCAGTTTTTATATATAATAGCAACTGATGACTGATGAGTAGTGGCAATGTTTCTGCCGAGTTAGGATTATTCATTGGTGCAAACCGTTGGTACCTAGCTATGGACAGTCTTGCATTTTGGACGGCCAAAATGGCAAAGTAACCTGTAAGGATGGAGGATGCTGCCCTTGACCTTCATGGTCCGGAACAGCAGGGGCTGGCTGGAGTTGCCTGCAGGTATGTCTCCCTCCTGGACGGCCATCCAGACATCGTTGTCCTTGGCGGCGGCGTTGATTCGCTTGGTCAGTGGGGAGTCGTCAGCTGCCGAGCTGCTGCGCCTGCTCTCCTCGTCGGCGCCGTTGGTCCCCTCGACGTGGTTGCGTTGATCCGCTTGGCCACTGGCGAGTCGTCAGCTGACGAGCTGCTGCGCCTGCTCTCCTCGTCTGCGCCGTTGGTCGCCTCGACGTGGAGGCTGGCAATGGCATTGACCCGGCGTGTCGCTGCCGCCGCGGCCATCTCGAACGGTGAGCCACAGTGCCACACCTAGCTAGTTCGTGTTGTGGCGTTGGTGCATGCGGCTTGCCGACCGGGGCTTATATAGGGCGGTAAAGCAGAAAAGCTGGAAGACGGAGAGGAGGGGACTGAATAGAGAGGGTCCGTCCGTTATTGAGCATAGGAAGGAGCATCAGTTCAGTTTTTTTCTTCAGCACGGTCAAAATACAGCAACTGGGCCTGGGAAGCCGTCATCGGCTTGCCCCATGTTCGACTTGCTCGGCTTGTTTTTTTAGTCAAAACAGTATTTTTCTCTCGCAATAATTTAGTCGGAATAGTGTTTTACAGCTAGTCTCAGCCAAGATTTAGCAAGCCAAACGGGGCCTATAGTATATGCGTCCAACTCCAGGTGAGAATGAGATCATCAGACTAACAACAGCTGGGCTGAAAGCCACGGGCGAACGCGGTGTCCATGTTTCACTTGTGCAGGGATCAGCAAGTTTGGTCTGTGGACTGTGGATGCTGCTGCTGTTCCTGACTTGCTGTGTGTTGAAATTTGGAAAAATTTCTAGAACTCTTCACTCGTGTTTTTACTTATATATATATATATATATATATATATATATATATATATATATATAAATAACGATGCTAAAATGCACCTGGGTGCATTATGTGAAGCGAGTGCACCCGACACGTGAGCGCGAGCGACGAGATGCGCAGAGCGTGGCGAGCGGCAAGCGCGAGGTAAGTCCACGCTCCTACATACAAAACTAAATGAAGACAACCAACTACGTGATGCCACCTAACAGCTCAACCCACCCACCAGGAAACATGCATGCATGGAATCTTTTGTTGATTCCAAACGAAAAAATATGATATCTTCTAAATCATATATCTGATTTTAGTTCTGTTTGAAGTAGGCTATTAAAAAAAATGCTTAACAAAACGAGATCCATGAAGGTTGTATTTGATGAAGTTCAACTTCTACAACACAATTGTAACTTGGTTGTAACGTATTTAGCACGGGTTGCAAAGAAGGCTGTATTTGATGAAGTTTTTTTTTCAAATACGTAATTGCAATATGTTGTACTATGAGTTGCAAGCACTTCTACAACATAATTGTAACTTGGCTGTAGCGTATTTAGCACTGGTTGTAATGAAGGTTGTATTTGATGAATTTTTTTTTCAAATATGTAATTGCAATATGCTGTACTATGAGTTGCAAGCACTTTTACAACACAATTGCAACTTGGCTGTAGCGTATTTAATACTGGTCGCAATGAAGACTGTATTTGATGAAGTTTTTTTTTCAAATATGTAATTGCAATATGTTGTACTATGAGTTGCAAGCACTTCTACAATACAATTGCAACTTAGCTGTAGCGTATTTAGCACTGGTTGCAATGAAGGCTGTATTTGATGAAGTTTTTTTTTCAAATATGTAATTGCAATATGTTGTACTATAAGTTGCAAGCACTTCTACAATATAATTACAACTTGGCTGTATCGTATTTAGCACTGGTTGCAATGAAGACTGTATTTGATGAATTTTTTTTTTCAAATACGTAATTGCAATATGTTGTACTATGAGTTGCAAGCACTTGTACAATATAATTACAACTTGGTTGTATCGTATTTAGCACTGGTTGCAACTAATTATAATTTAGTAGTTGCAACTAGGTGGTAGACAGAGTTGCAATTGGTAGTACATTAACATGCAACTCGTTTAAAGGATAAAAAATATATCCATATTGGATCTAGTTTTACTCAGAATATTTTTTTGAGTCGGATGCAACAAACGGTTTGTCACTCGGGGTTACGATTTAGGAGAAAATTTGTTTCAAAGATTCGAACCAACAAAAAAAATTACGCATGCATGTATTCGCTTGGGCGCGCTGGTTGCTCTAAGTTGGTGCGCCCGATGTGTGTGTGTGTGTGTATATATATATATATATATGGTACATGGGCTCATGGGCCTTACACACTTATGCACAGATAAAGCCCAACACTCCCCTTCAAGATGGGTTATAGATATCTATCATTCCCATCTTGTTACATGCTAAATTACATTCTTTTACTCATAAACCTTTTATTAAACAATCAGCTATTTGACCACCTGAGTTTACATGACTTAACTCCAATATCCCATCATCTAATTTCTCCTTGATGAAGAAGCGATCTATCTCGACATGCTTGGTTCTATCATGCTGAACTGGATTATTTGCATTACTGATTGTAGACTTGTTATCGCACCAGAGTCTCATGGGTCTTTTCTTAGGACATTCAACTCTGACAAAAGATTTCTTACCCATAACATTTAACTCAGACCATGAGACATAGCTCTATGTTCTGCTTCGGCAGTTGAACGTGATACTACTGATTGCTTCTTACTCCACCATGACACTAAGTTACTCCTAACAAATATGCAATAGCCTGAAGTTGATCTGCGATCATCAAGACAACTTGCCCAATCAGCCTCGCAATAGCCTTCCACATTTAGGTGACCGTGACTCTTAAACAGGAGCCCCTTTCTCGGACTATTCTTCAAATATCTTAGGATTCAGTAAATAGCATCCAAATGACCACTTCTTGGGTCATGCATATACCGGCTCACAACACTCACTGCATAGGATATGTCAGGCCTCGTATGGCACAAATAGATAAGGTGCCCAACAAGCCTTTGATACCTTTCTTTATTTACTGGATTACCTGATTCGGCGCATAACTTGTGATTTAAATCAATCGGTGTTGATACTGGTCGATATCCAAGCATGCCTGTCTCACTTAGCAAGTCTAGAACATACTTTCTTTGTGAAAGAACAATACCTTTTGGATTCCGTGCAATCTCAATGCCAGGAAAGTACCTAAGTTGCCCGAGGTCCTTGACCTCAAATTCCTTACTTAGATTTTCCTTGAGTCGTATGATCTCTCTTTCATCATCACCGGTAATGACAATATCATCCACATACACAGCCAACACCAAAATCTTGCGCCCTGAATGTCTATAGAAGATAGTATAATCTTTGTTGCACTGCTTGTATCCCATACCATATAGTGCATGCTTAAATCTGTCAAACCATGCTCGTGGAGATTGTTTGAGACCATACAAGGACTTTTTCAATTTGCACACCTTCCCAATTGCCCCAGGATTAGAGAAACCAGGTGGAATCTCCATGTACATTTCCTCCTGAAGATCACCATGCAAGAAAGCATTTTTGACATCCAATTGATGCAATGGCCATCCAAAATTCACCGCACAAGAAACCAAAGTTTTCACTGTACTCATCTTTGCCACAGGTGCAAATGTTTCATCATAGTCAATGCCATATGTCTGACTATACCCCCTTGCAACAAGTCGAGCTTTGTATATTTCGATCTTACCTTCAGGTGTTTGCTTCATAGTGAAGATCCACTTGCAACTAACAGCTTTCTTTCCTAGAGGTAGTTTGACAAGGTCCCAAGTTTTATTCTTTTCAAGGGCTCTCAACTCCTCCAACATGCCCTCGCACCACTTGGGATCATGCTTTGCTTTTTTCCAATCTTTAGGAATATGTGCAGATTGTAATGAAGCAATAAATGCTCTATATGCAGGAGATAATGATTCGTATGACACATAATTACTTATGTCATGCTCAAATCCATACTTAACTGGGGTTTCCCATCTGTACTCCTTGCCTCCTTTCTTAGAGCAATAGGCAAATCAATGGAAGAGTAAACTTCTCCCCCTGTCTCTGTGGACTGCTCGACCCCACTATCACCAATGTCAATACCACTAGTTGAAGATTGTTGTTGCTCCAATAGTTGCGAATGCTCAACAAGTTGCTCCACCAGTTGTGGTTGCTCAACTTGTTGCTCCACTGGTAGCACTCCAATATTTTTATTTCTTCTAGTATAAACCTACACAATATTTCTATTTCCTTGCTCTATGTTCATGTTATTAACATTTATGTTTTCCTGTCTCTCATTCATATTAGAATTACTTACACGCAATGGAATCACTCATGTGATAACTTTTGTTGCCCTTGATTGATGACCTTCATTATCTTGTACATCTATGCCATCCATCCTCTCTTGTTCATACACGCTCATGCTTGGTTCACCAAGCTTAAACAAGGAGCTCAAATCAGTCTTCTCCCCATAGTAAGGCTCAGACTCCCGAAATGTCACATTCATAATAACAAAGAGACGCCATTCAGTAGGACACCAACACTTGTAGCCTTTTTGACTTGAGGAATAACCCACAAATATACACTTAACCGCTCGGGGGTCCAACTTTCCCACAAAGGTCTTGATCCCTAACAAAGCAAGTGGACTCAAATACTTTAGGTGGAACAATAAACTCATTCACTCCTCGTAACATCTCATAAGGAGTTTTCCAACCAAGCAATCTCGAGGGCATACGATTAATCAAATATACCGTTGTCATCACTGCCTCACTCCATATAAACTTTGGCACATTCATAGCATACATAAGTGAACGTGCAACCTCCAAGATATGATGATTTTTCCTCTCAGCAGCTCCATTTTGTGGAGGTGTATTAGGACATGTAGTTTGGTGTAAGATCCCTTGAGCTGATAGAAAACTACAGAATTCATTGTTCACATACTCCATTCCATTATCTGTTCTCAACACTTTAATTTGAGCATCATATTGATTTTCAATAAGTGAGCAAAAATCTTGAAAGCACTTAGTACTTCACTCTTGTGTTTCATGAGATTGATCTAAGTCACACGTGAATAGCAGTCAATAAAGATGACGAAATACTTTATTCCACTAACTGAGGTGACTGGGCTCGTCCACACATCAGAATGAACTAGCATAAATGGAGTTATACTCCTAAGTCCTCTTCTTACATACGTTGCTCTTGTATGCTTCCCATACTCACATGCATCACATACTAGTTTCCTCTTATCTGTCTTAGTCATTATTTCTGGAAATGTTTTGGCCATAGTATCAAATGACAAATGCCCCAGTCGACAATGTTGAAGCATGACCTTAGCTGCATCTTCATTCATGCTTGCTGCTAAAGCAACACCCAAAAACTTACCATTTTCCTTCCCGTCCAGGTACCATAATCCACCATGCCTAATGCTAATTTCAATTTTCTTTCCTGTCCTCCTATCTTGAATGAGACAGTGCTCTTGATCAAAAGAGACTCGGTAGTCCATTTGATCAAATAATGCACTTAATGATACTAGATTAACAGGAAAAGAAAGGACATGCAAAACTGATGACAGAGTAATTGATGGGGTACACTTGACAGTACCATTGCCTTTGATAGGTTGACATGTCCCATCAGCAGTTTGAATGGTTTCCTTATATGTAGATGGATATGGTGTGTAAGATATAAACTCATCAGGAGCACCAGTAACATGTTTGGAAGCACCAGAGTCCAATATCCATCCATGTTGAGCTCTCTTCATGCATAAGAGAGCTTCAACATGAAGATCTTCCAACTTGGTACCCATGGGCATCAACGCCACCTTTTGTATCATCTCCATTTTTGTCCGTAGTTTCCTTACTTGAGGATGATATCTCACTGATTTTCACAATCAGTAACTTTACCATTTTTTAGTTCAGATAATCTCCCAAGAACTTCCATGATTTCTTGATTTTCCCCCATGATTTAATGTTGCCAAGGCCTTCTTCTTCTAGCTTCCATAACTGTAGAATAGATGAGCGGTACAGCAGCAGCTCTAATGCCTTCTGCACCTGCAGTTCTTCTACTTACGAGACCAAAAAACAGAGCACTGCAATCCCTCCAATAGCCTCCTCTGCCTTCTGCAGCCCAGCTCCTCAGAAATCCACTCCTAGGATGTACACGCACACACCTCAGGCAATAATTCCTTCTGCAACACAATAGCACAGGAAGAGCACAAGCACACGCACCTCAATCTCCTCAGGACTTGCCTCTCCTTCTAGATCCCGTCTAGCTGCTTCACGTGCTGCTGCTTCTTCTAGCTCTTGCTTTGCTTGCTTTCTCCTCCTGCTGCTGCAGCTCCCAATCCACACACAGCACAAGCTTGAGCACACGCCTCTCAACAGCCACCCTCCGTGAGCTCTCTCTCTGCATTGTGGCCGCCGTCACCAACCTCCAGCCAGGGGACGCAACGCTCTTCTTCTTGCGCAAGCTCGGCCGCTCCCTACCTCTCGTGCTCTGCCCCTGTAGCCTCGCGGCCTCGCCTGATGTCTCTGCCTAGCAAGGCGGCTGCTGCTCTTCCCAACACCTCGTCGCCGGCCGCCAGCTTCTGTCACGCCGACCAGGTGAAGCAGGGGGTCACCTCCATCGCCACCACCATCGGCTCCGAGACCATGCTGAAATTTGAGGAAATTTATGAAACTCTTCACTCATGTCTTTGCTTAGTGTTATATATATATATATATATATAGGGTAAGGCTATTCTGCTGCTGGCCATAGAATAACTTATTCTATAGCCACCTTGATTTACGATAATGTTTGTACCAATTTACGATAACATGAATATGTATTTACGATACTCGTGTTACTACAACTCACGGTGATATTTACCATAATGTTATAGTAAATCACTATCGTAACTCAAAGTGGCCACAGAATAAGTTATTCTATGACCAGCTGCAGAACAGTAGTTCTATATATATATGGGCTCATGGGCCTTACACACTTATGCACAGATAAAGCCCAACACTGTAGGTCTGAGAACTCGAGAGGAGCACTGCTACCAAGACTTCGGTGAATCAGTTTCGGAGGCGCCGTGCATTTATCGGGATTGGCGGACTGCCCAACTCTCGACAGCAAGGGTGAAATTGGCGGCCCAACCAGCGCCTACAGTCTCCATATAACACCAGCTCACCTCGCCCACTGATATTTCAGCGAACCTTTCTTTTTCTGGGAAGTCTTTCTGAAGAATGATGCCCAAAAATTACAGTCAGGCACTCCCGTTGGTTAGAAAATCGTTGTATTTCCCGTTTGAAAATGAGGTACAGATTGCTATCACCGCGAGGAAAAAATGCCACTGCAATTTGTGAAGTTTGACTAATCATGTTTCGCGGAAAATTTAAGTTAGTCTGATGGTAGTTTGGAACAGCCGAACAGGTTACAGATAGAGTTTGCACTGGAACCCCGGCACTTGAAGTATGGTGCTGGTGCTCCATCCATTTGTCCTATTTGCTAAAGTCAGATTTTTCTTTACTATTTTTGTGTTTACTGACATCTTGTCTAGCGAAAAAACAATATAGGGTTCCATTTTTTGAACACAATATATATAGGGTTCCATTGTCCGGTCCCTTGTTGAAGTGGACTGTACCAGACCAAAAACCAAGTAGTTTGAAGTGGAATAGCTATGTATCATCAAGTACGAATAAAATATTTATATTTGATACAGTGGGACATAATTGGTCTCCTACTTTACACAAGCTAAAAAAATGCAGTGCTTTCTTTGACTGACATTGTCTATATCGGAATAACATTAGCAAGTAAGATATGAAGAGCAACATATATCACACCAACAATTACAAAGACTGTTGGCAGCAGTATCAACAGGATGATTGGTCTCTTCGCCCACCGTCCCATGATCGCCAGTGCAAAGGGGTAAAGGAGCACCATGATCCACACATTGAACAGAAGTCCGAGCGCAGCATGAATCTTCTTCGACATTGTCCATACTCCCATGTACACCAAGGCCTTGCCCATGGCCACTCCAACAGCTCCAACATTGGCAACCAAGACAAACACTGTGGGAATCAACATCGGCGTCCATCGCATCTCATACAAATCGGCAAACTTGTCATTGGCATCGCCGGTTATTTGCTTGGAAGTGACCCTGAAGTGTATACCCTTCTTCGTGAGGAGTTTCTTTGCCATGTGCAATAGTGCTATTGGGTATGCACTTGTCGATCCAATCATGAAGAACTGCTCATTACGCCAATAGTCTAGCCATGTGACCCTAGCCCACTTTATCTCGAGCCAGCCAATCATGTGGATCATCAATATGATTATGAGAAGGTACACAACATACCTAGTGAAGGGCCTCTGGATGTGTATTTCATCGGGGATGAGCCACATTACCGGACAGAGAGCATAGAGCAGGATGAAAAGTGACGTGACTGGGTAGACCGTCATGTTGAGGTAGGAGACACGTTGAAGAAGTTGCAGTCGCTGGCCACCAATGAGTGGGTTGTTGTGGGAGAAGAACATCTCTAGGGACCCACCAGACCAACGAACAATTTGGTGGAGGCGCTCTGTTAGGTTGATTGGTGCTATGCCACAAAATGCATCATGCTGCATTGTGCAATACATGGAACGCCACCCTTTCCCATGGATGCGAAATCCAGTCACTATATCCTCTGTTGCTATGTCATAGATGTAGCCAACACCCTTACCCCAGTCAGTCCCTTTATCATAAGAAGATGCCATGATCATCTCCGTATCGGTAACAAATGTGTCATCAAATGGTGGTTGTGTGGTTATACTTTCTTCTCTTATGGCTTTTGATATCGAGTCTATTAAGGGAGTGGACTTGCCATACTTGCTAGATTCAAGTGTGATGTTATCTTGTCTACAATGAGGTGGATCAATGCCATAGAGTGCTATGCGGCGGAACATGCATCCAGTGCCAAGGTAGGATGGCCCTTGCAAGCCATTCAGGGCAAGCATGGTTCCATCAAAGAATACTCGGTTGTGGTTACCATACCGGTCTGTCGGGTCGACATTGTCAAAGCGCTGAGGGAACTGAACAAAGGCAGTGTTATCACCTTCCCGTTGATCAAGCATGAGGCAGACTGCTGCACGAAGAGCTTGAGAATTGTTGATGTAGTGGTCGCAGTCAAAGTTGATGACAAATTGTGCATTGGACAGTAGTGCAGAGACTCGCAGTTGCGCATTCAATGCGCCCGCCTTCTTGTTGTGGTCATAGCTTGGATTCTTTTCACGAGAGACATACACAAGCATTGGTAGGCGCAACCTAGTAGCACCAAAGTCAGACTTATTTTCATTGCCGACTTGGGGACTATGGTGATGTCCACGGCTTGGATGATCCAACACAACCTGGTGAAGGAATTAAGGTGTCAGAGGCAAGTTTATTGTAATGGAATTAGTCTCTTCAAAATAGTAAAATATGTTGGATAAGTATGCCTATTACATACTTATTCAGAAATCAACAACCTTTTACTCTAAACTTTAGTACCTTAACAATTCCCTTATGATGTCCTTTTCTATGGTTCTCTGTTGGATCCATCCATGTGCCTGGCCACTGCATCCCATTTGCCATCCAAGTCGCTTGTGCATCTCCTTCTGACGTTCTCATGCTGTTGTAAACATCCGAACGCTTGCGAATGGTGTCAGAAAGATTACCCAAGCGCACCTTAAACTCTTCATACTCCATGTGCATCCTCTTATAATCATTCATGAACTCTTGCGATGCTCTTCCACCCTGTGGTTGCACCTCCATCTCAAAATACCTCTCTGGTGCTCTTGGATCAATGAAATGCTTGTGACAGAATGGAGCCCACATCATTGCAAACTTTGCAACCTCAACCAATGCTTCATAAAGGATCAATGACCCGCTATCATCAGAGACATAGCAGGCAAGTCTATCGACCGGATAATCAGTGGAGAGGATAGAGAGGATGGAATTCATAGTGTAGAGTATCGGCTCATCGATAGGGTCAGCGGTGGTGACAAAGACATCGATGCCAGGGAGCTTAGATGTGCCATCTGGAAGGTCATAGTGTCGCCTGAGGGCAGCAAGGTCAGGTATGCTCTTGACGGGGTTGAACTTGGGAAGCTGGTTCAGGAGCCACGAGAATCCGAACCAAGCGTCCCCGGCAACCGACATAGCCCAGAACCACATGACATTGGATCTGTTGTTCCTGATGCGCCAGACGAAGAATAGGAGGACCGCGAGTAGGCGTACAAAGATTAGTGACCTGTAACAGCAGAATGGTTGGCATCAGAATGATGTCGTCAATGCTGATGACTGGTGAAAGTATGTGTCATCGGGTATTCTGGTCTCTCGTTACTGAAATGCCAAATGCTTGTGCATGTTCATGTTACTATAATGTCAACAGAAAGGAAACAACACTGGTGCATGTGCCGGTACGTTAATGACATTAGCATCCAAAGTAGTGCCCTGGAACATGGGAGCCCCGCGTGAGTGTGCAGGTCAACACAGGATAAGTTAAAGAAACTTCGCAAATAATATCTTAGTGTGCTTGTAAGATCAATCCTGCTGCCATCATGGCAGACTCCAACAAAAACGACTTGAGAGAAGAAAAAAGGTCCACGGTTCCGAAGTAAAAATGTACTACACTATACTTGCACAGTGCTGTACAGCTAGGTACTATTACTGGTCAGGTCTCTACTACGTGTATGAGATGAAATATATACATTTGTATGCATGTTATCTAGTACTACGGAGTACTCCTTAGCTTCGTCCAACAAAATTTCCTCACTCTCGTCGTATGGAGTATGCATGCCTAACAAAAGTTTCAGTTTGGCTGCGCGCAGGGGTACCTGTAGGGGTGCAGGATGGCGCCCCTGAGCTTGTACGTCCGGAACAGCAGCGGCCGGCCGTCCTCAGCGCCGCACTCGGTCACCGCCAGCCTCTCCGCCTCGTCAGCGGCCGCCCAGTACTTGCCCTCGGCGCCGCACTCCTTCGTCTTCGTGGCGCCGTTGCCATCGGCCGCTAGAAGTGGGTCGGCGAGGCCTCCATCTTCCACAACGACAGCGCCGGTGGGCAGCGCCGGCGAAGCCATGGCTGCTGGCTGCCTAGGAATGGGGCCCTAGCTGGCTAAGTGGCTATGCACGCACGCAGTGGCTCGCGGACTGCGGAGAGAGCGAGCGACGACTGCGTGACATATATAGAAAGAGACGCGGCCGGCCGGAAGGACTGAGGACGATGGAAGTTTACTACACTAGCTAGCTAGGTCGGCATGGCCAAATCGTGCTGAAAAATGCGCGTCCAGATCTCTCTGCGGGATCACCGGATCGATCCATGTGCCTCTGGAGGCGGAACCCACGGGGTCGAGCTCGAGCGTCGTGTGGAGACGTGCAGTGTAGCAACCATATGTTCTAGTAGCTGGATTCTTTTGCGTCATGTACATATATACATGCTCATAGTCGATCCGGTTTCTGGCCGAAAATAATCGAGGGTACTGGCCACTACCGTCACGAGACTGGTTTGTGTGAACTCGGCCGGACGTTTCCCCCCTAGAACGTTAGAGTCGGTTTGGTGCCTTAGATTTTTGCAATATTTGCATTAGTTTCTTGTTCTCTATTTTGGAGATCATTCTCTAGTTTGGTAGAGAGCCATTTTAGATACCTGGTGCTTTATCCGTGTGTTCACTCTGCCTTGCTATATGAGCTTAGAAATCTGTGTACCATGCATCCTTGGCATTACCTGGGATATACAGAGCTTATTTTAGGTGGGCTGTGAAGAGCTTTCATTTGCACCGGATTTGGCGAACTGTACCCATCCACCACGCTCACTTCTAGCCACCGCCCTACCTCTGACCATACTCCCATCATTGCCACCATACAATCTAAAATTCCCAAACCAAGTGCTTTCAGACTTGAACGCTCTTGGCTGCTTGACCCCTCCTACCTCCCCGCTGCTCTCCTGGCCTGGCATTCGGTGCCATCCGGTGACAATGAGGCTGCTGTCCTGGTTGCACAGATCAAAGCAGCTCGCCAGGCGTCAAAGGTTTGGCTGCGTAAGCATCGCTCCCCACCCCACTTATATCATAATTGCTACTTCATTATTCGTCTACTTGATTATTTGGAAGAGTTCAGACCTCTCATTCCAGGTGAACGATGCCTTCGGGACCTCTGTTCTCAGCGCCTAGAGCTGTACTTGTGCCAACGTGCTGCTTACTGGAAGCAAAGAGCAAAGTTCAGGGCTCTGAAGGAGGGAGATGCTAATACAAAGTTTTTCCACGCACGCGCTTCTGGGCAGCGTAGGAAAAATCAAATTGCAACCATCACTGTTGATGGGGTACAGTTGATCACCCACCAGGATAAGTCTGATGCAATGACAGCTTACTACACTTCCATATTGGGGATCACCAATGCAACGTCCTGGAATTTTGACCTCTCCACCCTGTATAACAGTGAAGACCTCCAGATTTTGGATGATCTTATTCTTCCGTTCACTGAAGCTGAAGCTCTCTTGGCAGTCAAGTCAATGAATGTTAACAGTGCTCCTGGCCCGGATGGTTTTGGTCCTGCTTGGTACTCTTCTGCATGGTCCTCAATTAAGGATGACATAATGGCATTTCTCTCCAGCTTCTATAATTACACAGCTGACCTCCACCGTATCAATAGAGCGCATATTGTTCTGCTGCCTAAGTGCCCAGGTGCCTCTTCACCAAAAGATTTCCGGCCAGTATCTCTACAAAACTGCCCAGTCAAGATTATTACCAAAATTCTCACAACAAGGCTGCAGAGACACATCCAGAAACTCATTGATATCGACCAGACTGGTTTTATTAGGGGCCGTTCCATCTTAGAAAACTTTGTGTATGCCACCGAACTAGTTCAGCACTGCCACCGCAACAAAATCCCGACAGTGGTACTCAAGTTAGACTTTGCAAAAGCTTTTGACTCTGTCTCATGGGACAGTACTATAAAAATCCTGGCTGCCAGAGCTTTCCCAGATAGATGGCTACAATGGATGCAAATGTTGTTCTCTTCATCTCACTCAGCTGTTTTGATCAATGGCTGCCCGGGGAATTGGATTACCTGCAAGAGAGGTTTGAGACAGGGGGATGCTCTTTCACCGTATCTGTTCGTGTTGGTAGCTGATGTTCTTCAACGACTCATTAAGCATTCCAACATCAGACACCCTGTTGTAGATGGCCCCTGCCCAGTGTTGCAGTACGCCGATGACACCCTCCTACTGGTGCGAGCAGAAATAGTAGACATTCGGAGACTCAAAGTTACTTTGGATAGCTTTGCCATGGCCATTGGTCTCAAGATCAATTACTCCAAGAGCACGCTTGTGCCTATGCACGTACCGCAAGACCGCTTGGAACGGATCGTCCGGCTCCTCCAGTGCCAGCAAGCAAGCTTTCCTCATGTGTACCTTGGCTTACCACTCTCAAATGTCAAGCTTAACCTCGCCGCCTTCGCGCCCTTGATCTCCAAGGTCGACCGGCGGCTCTCTGGGTGGCAGGCTGCGCTGCTCAACCACCAAAGCAGACTTGTTCTCATCAACTCAGTTCTAGACGGTCTGGCCACCTATATGATGCAGGCTCTCGCGCTGCCCCCGGGAATCATCTCGGCCATTGATAGCAGACGACGAGCTTTCCTTTGGTCCGGCAAAGATAAGACATCAGGTGCAAAATGCCTGGTCAAGTGGGACGATGTTCAGCGGCCTTCCTTGGAAGGAGACCTCGGGGTAAAGGACCTTGCCACTCAAAATGCTTGCCTCCTTTTGAAGCTTCTCCACCGTCTTCACCATCTGAGCAGCAGTCGGCTTGGGCTGCTTGGGTGAGAGCACAAAGACATCCTCAACATGTCCGACCATGGTGATGGCGATCACCGGTCGGCCCTCGATCCTTGCTACCAGCTTACGGTGTATCACCAAGGTGCAGGCGGCGGCGAAGCGAACTTCGTCCTTCCGGCATGACTCTTGGTTTGATGGTTCGCCTCTCGCTCATGTCTTCCCCTGTCTTTTCTCCCCTCGCACGAAGCCGGACGCCTCTGCCTCCGAGGTCCTCACATCGGTTTGCAACCGATGTTGGTCTCAGTTGTCACCCACCCCAAGCAAGTGAAGAGCTGCATGCCCTCAATGAAATGATCAACAACATCACTTTAACACAAGCTCCGGACAGCGATATTCCAAATTTGCCGGCCAGTGGGAACTCTCCATGCTTCACCGTGTATCGAGCATCCAAGACCATGGGCTCCCCATGCAATTTCTCTAGCTTCGTTTGGAGAAACCGAGCGCCCCAGTACGTTTTTTCGGCTGGTTATTGGTAAACAACCGCATACAAAGGCCGCTTCAACCTCCACCTCAAGCATGTCCTCGACGACGACATTTGCCAACTCGTGGTAATGCGGCGAGACTGCCGATCACCTCATCTTTAAACTTCGGTTCCTTTGGCTTTACGGAATCATATTGGCCGGATCGGGTCAACCTTCCGAGCCAACTCACCTATGGGAGATGCCACGGCCACCACATATCCCGGCTAAGCACTTCCCGATGATGATACTCTTGTGTTGTTGGCAGATTTGGAACCATCGCCACGACGTCGTCTTTTCGCCATCAAGAACCCCATCGAGCCGCCTCCTCATATGCATTGCAGGGAAACATGTCGCCTATGGAGCAGTCGCCTTCGTTCCCAAGACCGTTCCATTGCTGATGACTGGTGTAATTTATTTTTCATGAATTAATGCTCTGTACGATTAAGACCATGTAAACTCTAGGTGCCTGGCACCCTCCATTTACCAGCTTGCCGGAATCTATGGAAAATCATTCAGGTGGGGCTCTCCCCCCTCCGGTGAAGTCTTCAAAAAAAAAGTGTGTTGTTAAAAGCTGAATACTAGGACAATAGTAGGGATGAATTAGGACCAGTAAGATATTATGCATTTCCAATCATATCAGAAGTCATTGGTGGTAGGGAAATTAAAGCCTAACGTCAATAACCCTAAACATCAATACCGAAATTGTACTTTTACCATGTAGATGTTGCAAAGCTGAGTTGGGTTGTATGGGGCCAAAATCCAAATGGTCTGAATTTAATTAGGATTAATCTGTATTATTACGATGTATGAATACAACGTTTATTTGATACAAAGGAACATAATTGGTTCCTTGGTAACTACACAAGAAATTACAATGTTTTCTATACCACCTAGAATGGAATTACACCAGCAAGTAAGATATGGACACCTACATACAACAGCGCAACAAGTGCAAAGACAACCGGCAGCAAGACTACAAGGATGATTGGCCTCTTCGCCCACCGCCCCATGATCGCTAGTGCAAATGGGTAGAGGAGAAACATGATCCATATGTTGAACAACAAACCCAATGCTGCATGCATCTTCTTTGCCGCTGTCCATGTTCCAATGTATACCACTGTTTTGCCCAGGGCTACACCAATGGCGCCAACATTGCAGATCAGAACTGCCATTGTTGGGATGAGCATTGGCACCCATCTAAAATCGTACAAGTCAGCAAACTTGTCATTGTCATCTGCGGCTGTTTGCTTGGAAGTGACCCTGAAGTGTATGCCCTTCTTTGTGAGGAGGTTCACTGCCATGTGCAGCACTGCCATTGGATATGCACTTGTTGAGCCGATCATAAAGAACTGCTCATTGCGCCAATAGTCTAGCCATGTGACCCCCGCCCACTTTTCTCAAGCCAGCCAATCATGTGAATCATCACTATGATTACGAGAAGGTACACGACATACCTAGTGAATGGTCTCTGGATGTATACTTCATCGGGGATAAGCCACATCACCGGGCTTAGAGCATAGATCAGGATGAAGACTGATGTGACTGGGTAGACTGTCATGTTGAGGTAGGAGACACGCTGAAGGGGTTGAATCCGGTGACCACCTATGAATGGGTTGTTGTGGGAGAAGAACATCTCTAAAGACCCACCTGACCATCGCACAATTTGATGGAGGCGTTCAGTTAGATTGATTGGTGCAACGCCACAGAACGCGTCATGCTCCATTGTGCAATACATAGAGCGCCACCCCTGCCCGTGGATGCGAAATCCAGTTACTATATCTTCAGTGGCTATGTCATAGATGTACCCTACACCCTTGCCCCAGTCAGTACCTTTGTCATAAGAACATGTCACAACCCTCTCTAACTCAGCGAGGAATGTGTCATCAATTGGTGGTGGTGTGATTGACCTGTCATTTTTTAGGGCTTTTGACACTGAATCTAGGAAGATTGTGGAGTTACCAAGCCTGATAGCTTCGGCTGCGATGTTTTCTGCTCTACAGTGGGGTGGGTCAATACCATAGAGTGCTAAGCGACGGAACATGCAACCAGTGCCGAGGTATGAGGGTCCTTGCAAACCATTAAGGGCAAGCATGGTCCCATCAAAGAAGACACGATTGTGGTTACCGTAGCGGTCCGTGGGGTCAACATTGTCGAAGCGCTGTGGGAACTGAACAAAAGCGGTGTTATCACCATCTCGTTGATCTAGCATGAAGCACACAGCCGAGCTTAGGGCTTGAGAATTGTTGATGTAGTGGTCGCAGTCAAAGTTGATGACGAGTTGTGCATTAGAGAGGAGAGCAGAGGCCCGCAGTTGTGCATTCAGGGCACCTGCCTTCTTGTTGTGGTCATAACTTGGGTTCTTCTCACGAGAGACATAAACAAGCATTGGGAGGCGCTCATCAGTGGTGCCAATGTTGAGATTGCTTTCAGTAATGGGTTGTGAACCATGATGCTGTCCATGGCTTGGATGATCCAGCACAACCTGTTAAAGAAGGAACAAAACCTTCAGTGGTGACATTGCTGTAACAAGCAGCACAAAAATTAAATATTGCTGAACTAAAGTTCTGCAAGAAGTCAGTGACGGTCTCACTTTCAGAATTTCAACAACCACTAATCTGAACTTTAGTACCTTGGCAATTGGAGCATGGTGCCCTTTTCTATGGTTTTCTGTTGGATCAATCCATGTGCCTGGCCACTGCGTCCCATTTTCCATCCACGTTGCCTTTTGATCTCCTTCTGCAGCTCTCATGCTATTGTAAACATCAGATCTCTTGCGGATGCTATCAGGGAGGTTGTCCAAGCGCACCTTGAACTCATCATACTCCATTTGCACCCTCCTATAATCATTGAAGAATTCATGTGTCACCCTTCCAGCCTGTGGTGGCGCCACATGCTCAAAATAGCTTTCTGGTGCCCTTGGCTCAATGGAGTACTTGCGGCAGAATGGAACCCACAGAGGTGCAAACTTTCCGACCTCAACCAATGCCTCATAGAGAACCAGTGCCCCGCTATCATCTGAGAGATAGCACGCAAGCCTGTCGACTGGGTAGTCAACCGCGAGGATGGAGAGGACACAGTTCATGGTGTACAGTATGGGCTCATCAATGGGGTCGGCAGTGGTGACGAAAACATCAATGCCGGGGAGCCTAGAGGTACCGTCAGGGAAGCCAAAGTGCCGCTTGAGGGCAGCCAGGTCTGGGATGGTCTTGACGGGGTTGAACTTTGGGAGCTGGTTGAGGAGCCACGAGAAGCCGAACCAAACATCGCCAACTATGGACATTGTCCAAAACCACATGATGTCAGATTTGTTGTGCCTGATGCGCCATGCGAAGAAGACGAGGACAGCGATTAATCGGATGATGATCAGCAACCTGTAACATGAAAACATGTCGTCAGTTCTCAGGCCATAGAAATGCAAGCTTTGCTCTCGAAATGCAAGCTTTGCAATCGTGTGTGTGTGAGTATGTGACCAGAATAGGAAATAGCAATCCTCCTGCAAGATCCTTTCATCTATTTGGCAATCCATATTACTATATTATTAGTGCTTGGAAGATGATGAGCCCCCAGTGGAGTCTCAGGTCAACGGTTGTCCACTGAAGAAAATTTTGCTGGCAAATTTATTAAGCCAGTAAGATCTAAGCAGGCAAAGTCTAACAAGCAACTAGGAAATGCGCGTTTAGCAAAAATATACAGCCTGTGCCCTGTTTACATAGTGAACTGTAAATAATTAAGTACATATTTGGACGGTATCTCTGCTCATGCCATACACATTCAGTTTAGCTGAGCTGGCTTTACCTGTAGGGGTGCAGGAGGGCGCCTTTGACCTTATACTTCCGGAACAGCAGCGCGCGGCCCTCCTCACCGCCGGCCTCCTTCGCAGCTCGCCTCTCGGCCTTGTCGGCGGGCACCCAGTACTTGCCCTTGGCGCCGTGGGCAGCCTTCCTCGGGGCGGCACCGTGGCCGTTCGCGCTCACTAGAAGTGGGTCAGTGAGGCCACCATTGGCCGCATACACGGCACCGTCGGCTGCCGGCGCCGGCGAAGCCATGCCTTGCAGGTCCTAGCTAACTTCTACTTTTTCCCTCTTTTGCCAAGACCAGAGGAAGGTGGGGGCACTGACACTCTAGCCAGTGTGCAGTGGCACACGACGGGAGGAAGCCTGGAGCAGTGCTTATATAGGAGGCACGACGGCCAGGCCGAAGCACGGGAGTGCCTGGGGCGTGCCGGGCAGGTTACAACCTTACAGTTACAGTTTTTTCACACCTGCCTAGAAGTGCGTCCATCCAGATATGTGTGTAATCTGTAGCCAATGGATCGTTATCGATCCGGCAGTGTGTACAGACTAAACTACAAGCTCATGCAGAAAACGTGGATCATGGACAGTGAACAGTGAGCACAGGCACAGATCGAGCCCCGTCCATGTGCCGCTGCGGGCTATCTGCCCGCAACGCAACGGCCGGAATTCACGGGAGCGCACGTCGTGGTGCAGTGCGCTACGTACGGCAAGTAGAGCGAGGCTGGAGCTAACGCTGTTATTCTTATTCATTTGCACCTGTGTCAGGCATGTTCGTCACCCATCTGCTGGTTCTGTAACTTCTACTGGGCAGTTGGGCTGGGAAAGTGAGCTTCCAGCGCTGCCCCCTGCGCATCGGCGAAGGAGGATTGGAAGATGGAAACTAGACGAGTTTGTCTCTCCTTCCGTTTTTTGTCTGGAGCAACCACGCAAGTGGGTCGCACAGTTGCAATGATCGGATCTGCCTTGGGCACGCAGCCAAGCATCAGCAGCGCATGGGAAACTAGATCTTGTCACTGCTATGGACATGAAACGGGAGCAAGAAAACCATATTCTTGGTGCAGTTGTTGGTTCGCTTCTCCTTTCAGATCTAAGGCCACTTAGTAGTTTCAGTGCAAGTAGACGCTTGGTCTGGATGGCTGGATTAGTTTATACCGATCATGATCATGTTGCATGTTCCTGTCTACCGTTGTTTTTTCCCACCCTGTGCTGAGGACCTTGTGAATCCATTTTTTAATATCGTCAGTAAACAGGAATCTCTCTTGCAGCGGTTGAGATCAGATCTGATGATATGCTGCTAACACATCTAAGTGTCGGGTGCTCTACTGTGATTTGGGGTGCATATTGATCGATAGGAAGGGGAAATATAGAAATTTGTCCGATTGATTGCAGAAATAAGGGTGCAAATTCACGTGCTAATCCGAAAACGAGGAGAACCTATGCATCTATTATGCGTAGCGGGATCTCTGATTAGGTATATATTAGCACGGAGGCTTAATCAAGCGTAAAAGAGTCATAGATTAAGACTCTGAGCAAAGGCCTAAACAATAACATATATGAGGGACTCATCATTTAGGGGTACTTGAATCCGGTGACTAACAAAAATTAGATTATGGGTCAGTTATGGAAGAAGAAAAATGTTTCCTGCAACTGCAAGCTAATTTTCCTTCTGGCATTGTGCTTTGTAGCTTTGTCTACTATGTCTCTCGGTTGGGGGCAAACTTCCTTAGCTAACAGGAAACTAATAATTTACCTAGTTATTACTTTACAATGAGAGTTCAGACATCTGCAGTAAAGCTCTCTTGGTAAAGTAAGTCTGGACAGCCTACAGATTTTACAAAATGAACATAGTTTGAGACCATAAAAGAACATTCAGGCTTTAGTAGGTTTGCTATTGGAGCCTTCTGTGTTGTGTCGCCATTAAAATATTCTTCTCCATGAGTGCTTCTATGGTACCAGCTTTCCTTCCATGTGAGATCTTTCAGTTGCTCTTTAGTTGTAAAGGTGCCTCCATTGATATGTTCAGGCACTCAGGTCAGTAAATAGATCTATCTTGGTTAATTTACATGGAGTCCTGAATATTAGTTGCCAACTTATTAGCCTTTATATGGTTCTTCTAAAATAACCTTGACATCTGCTCGAGTTCAACTGATACTGAAAACAAATGTAATTCCGACTTTTCTGTAAAGCCTACAAAGCTGCTTGATGAACAGTATCCAAATTGCATACAATTTTGTTACTTGTCAAAATTTTGCTTTGGACTCATAGTCATTCCCTTGCAGCAGCAAAAGCACATAGAGTGATACAGCTCTGCTGCGGAGTATATAGTAAAACGGAGTCCCAGTGACATCTTTTACATGTAGCTCCTCTTTTTTTAGAAAGGGCTCCACACTTCAAACAGTGGTGGGGGGGCTCGAGCCTCGGTGGGCCCAGTGCTAGATCCAGCTTATATGGTTCTCATGTAACCTCGATAACTTCTCCAGTACAACTGGTATTGAAGAGTAATGTGATTTGTAGTTTTCTATAAAGCCTTTCAAACTGCAGAACGAACAATACCCGAACTGCATTATTTAAGGGAAATCTGCATACTTTTTAATACCCATTAATTTTTTTATTTATATTCCTGCTTTCGCCTCGCAATCATTCTCAAGCGGCAAAAGCACATACAGCAGGGTAGCAGTCTAGCAACCTTGTCTGCTCCAGTTGGTGCAAATAATAATCATCTGAACCTTTTTGTTTTTAGAATTCACCAAAGTCATACGTGAAAAACATATCATTATGCATGTTGTATAGTAAGTCAGAGTTTCATCTGCCCAACAGGTCTAGCGTTTATAGTTTCGGACTTGCTAGCGTCCGGACGTCCGTCCAGGGTGCTAGTGTTCGGACGCCGCCGTGCAGAGGAGCAAACGAGTGTATAGCGCATCGGGCTTGCGAGAGAGCGCACGAGCAGTAGGCCCGGACCTCGCCCACGCCGCCCCAAACATCGTCCCTGTCATTCACGCCACATGCCGCTTCCCATGTGCATTCCATGTGCAACACCTGATCTATTTTTGAAACATCCAGATACAACAGTTGCAATATACAAAAGAAAACAAATGAGACACTTGACACAAAGACATTTGCGAAAACACCTGAAAAACATTTAAAAACCATTACACACATATGCGACATCTAAATGAAACACTAGCAAACATACGTATGAAACACCTGAAAACACTTGAAACATATGCTCGCAACATGCATGTATATGCAACATCTAGATACTTGTAACATACGTCTGGAACAGATGAAACATTTGGAACATACACTTGAAATATACGTGTATAGCCATTACAATATGTGCAATATCCCGATCTAATTTTGCAACATCGAGTCATCGATATACAACACTTGCAACGTATCTCTGAAATATCTGAAACACTTGACACATACTATCGCAACATGCACTTTCAGTGTAGCATCTGCTTGCTATTTGGATGAATGGAGGCTCGTCGACGCGGAGCTCGATGCCACGGAGTGGCGCGGAGGTCGTCGGTGTGGAGCTCATCAGCGGCACGGACCTCGGCAGGGGCTGGGGCTGGGGCAGGCGGATGGAGCGTGGCCGTGACGGGAGGCGCGGGCTGGGCGGCGCCGCTGAGGGCAGGGTCCGTCCCGGAGCAGAGGTGCGCAGCGCGCTGAGTGAGCAGGAGACGCGGGCGGGGACGGCGCTGGCGAGGCGCAAAGCGAGGGGGCGACTTATACGAATCCGTCCGTCCGGACGACCTATAAGCATCATTACCGTTACAGTTTAGAAGGTGAGAAAGACATTACCGTCGGGTAAATTAGAAGTTACTTATAGTTATATAGGGGCTTTTTCTATGAAAATATTAATTGTTATGATCATGGTGAATTAACATATATGCATGAAAACTTTCCACATCAATCGATCTTGTTCTCTACTCAAAAGGAATAGACAACCGAAAGATGTCAGTGTTCAGAGTCGTTGCATCTAACTAGTATGACCACAAACCAGTGGATCTTGAAGCCTTAACTAATATTGCATCCTGAATGTTGCTCTAGGACACCTCATACGATGTTTTTGTAATCATGTTCTTTCGTCTCGTGTCTTATTTGTCATAGGAACATGCCTATTATTAAACCTCCGAGGGTAGGCCTGATTCAGATCCCGCATGCTTCACACTAACAAGCTATACTAGAAGTCTACCGAACAGGCACGAGGGCTCATGTGCAGAATACAGCCGGTACTTCTCACGCCGTTGATTGGAAGGGGTATCTTCGGGATATTCTACCGGCTGGCCCGAGAAGACACCATCGGCCATTCTGTGACGCCTGCACCTGAATAATTGTTGTTTTCGTTTTTCGAGAAACAACTTTGATTAAATATATATAACGAAATATTAATATTTATGGTACAAAATTGATATCATTAGATAGATCGTTAAATTTATTTTTATAATAAATTTATTTGAAGATACAAATACTGCTCGTATTTTTTATAAATCCAATCAAATTTATGGTACGAAAAAAAAATAGTTATTTAGAAACGGAGGGAGCAGCCACCGTCGGCCATTCCGTGACGAACAACAATAGTGTGTTGAGCAGCAAGAAAAAGCTGCCGCTGTTGCAAACTTTAGCTGCACGTACAGTAGTGTTTCACTGAGAGAGAAAAAAAGCGGGCACCACAGTTTTGTGACTTGCCTATGCAGCCCACAGTTTTGTTGAAGAAGAAAAATTATTGGATGATGGGAAATTGAGGTCCTTCACAGTGGCTCGACGAACGCTAGTGGCCGTTCAAGCCATAGGCACAGGCGCACAGCCGCATAGGCCAGCGCCCAGCGCAGCGGAAGATGGACGTACAGGGAGCCCCTGCTTGTGCAGTTGTGCTTGGAAAACAAGTCTGGCAGACGGTGCCCGCGCTCGCAGTCTCGCACTCACATCGCGACCGCGCGCATATCCCTGAGCCAAGCCATCCCGACTAATTATCGGCGGCCCGGCCGGTTGGTTTTGTCCCGTTCCGTCCCGACCAATAGGCGCAGCAGATCTTGTCAGGTCAGGGGCATGCAAATGCATTCGCCGAGCTGATCTGGAGACAGGGGTACCACAAGTTGGTTCTCATCAGGCTCCGTGTCGTTGTGTGCTAGCTAACAGCCTGATTCGTGTATATGGATTTCTAACGCCTCGTTCAGCAGATTGCCAAACTGCAGGACGACCAATACCCAAATTGCATTTTTTAAGGTCCCGTTTGGATTCTTGAA